CGCCCCAGCACGCGCGCAGGGGCGTCCGAATGATGTCGACACGCGCGCGCGACAAGTCCGTTTTTTTGTTTCTTTTCTTTCCCCCGAAGATGTTGAAACACATGTGCTTGTTTCGTTGTTTTCGTTGGTTTCTTCTCTCATTACCAACAAAACAAATTCGCAAAAGCTCGCGCGCTGATGTTTTCGAACAGTGGCGTTGTACAGCCATGTGTGTTTCATGGGTATTCGCACTCGATTTTGATATCGCTACGGCATCCAAAGGCTTTGAAGGCTTCCATCTTGCGCGCGGGACGCCGCGCGAGTGTGCACCCCGTCTTGTGCACGTTGCAAAGGACTCTTGAGAATGGTTGCCCTTTCAATCGACGAGTTTGCGCGCATTTCTTCTGCAGCGAATGGCGCGGGGTGTCGACACCAGTTGGGCTGGGATGGTATGTGTTCATGCATGGAATGAAGGATGGGGCACTAGCGTATGTGCTCTGCAGTATAAATCAGTACAATAGTGCAGGCAACTACTCCTGGGGAGAAGGCGGGAGGGTAGATCCGAATTCCTTGTTTCGGAAAAAGGAGATTATGTCGGGGCGGCGACGGCGGCACCATAGCTGCCAGACCGACAGACAGGCCAAGGCACGGGTGGCGACGAGGCGGCGGCGGGCTTGCGACGGCGGCAACACAGCCGCCAGACCGACACACGACCGACACGACGGCGGCTACATAGCCGCCGGACCAGCACACATGCCCAGACGACGAGGCGGCGACGAGGCGGCGACGGGGTGGCGACGGGGCGGCAACGGCGGCTACATAGCCGGCAGGCCGACACACCAGCCCAATTTCTCAAAACAGAACTACGAACCCTTAAGTGCAAACATTCGGAAGACCTCATGGCGGCCTCGTGGGGCGTCTTGAGGACATGTTGGACCATCTGGAGGCCATCTTCGGCGTGTTCGACCAATTGTTCGGCGATTCGGGGGCCCTCTTAGGCCGCCTTGGACGCCTCTTGGGATCCTGTTTGCCCCTCTTGGGGCCCTCTTGGGACTGAGAACGTGACGCGAAGCCGTGGGGAACTCCTGGGGCCACGCGACGCGCCCTGGCCGATTTGGCAATTTTGGGTTTGCTTTTTTCCAATAATCCTCAGGATTGCGAGCTGAGGCTTAAGGGACTAGACCAAGGACCAGGGGACGCTCCAACTCGTGACTCCAGGGCATGTTGGCGCGTACTTCTATGTACGTGTGTGTGGGTACACAAAACTCGGGGTACATGTATACATGCATATGTATATATATATATATATAGATGTATGCATGTATACGTATAGGCACATGTATATGGATATGTATATGTTTACGTATATGTATATATTTTTGTAAATGTTCATGTATATATATGTATATGTATATATAGATATATGTATATGTATGTATGCATGCATGCATGCATGTATATATGTATGTGTGTATGTATGACCATCATGTGTGTAATGCATGTAATGTTTGTGTGTATGTATGCAAGTATGTATGTATTCATGTATACATGCATGTGTGTATGTATGTATGCATGTCTGCATGTATGTATGTATGTATGTATGTATGTATGTAAGTAATGCTTGTATGCGTGTATGCATGTATGTAGGTATGTATGTATGTATGTAGGTTTGAATGTATTTAGGTTTATGCATGCATGTATGCATGTATGTGTGTATGCATGTCTGTCTGTCTGTCTGTCTGTCTGTCTGTATGTATGTATGCATGTATGTGTATACACATACATACATTCGTGTATGCATGTATATATGTATATGCGGAGGCGTGTATTTCTTCATGCGTTCATGCATGTAAGTGTGTATGTGTAGGTAGGTGTGCCAATGCAAGTGCGTACGTGTACGTACGTGCGCGTGCATGTATGTACGTATATATTCATGAGTCTGCATGTTTGCATGTGTGTATGCATGTTTGTGTGCATACAGGCATGTAGATCGGAGGTGAGGGTGTGAGATCGCAGTGGGACGGATAGCCCCTCACTCTGAGATCGGCTTCGGTTTCGTGGTCGTGTTGTGCGTGCAGGCGAGGCGACGCTGCGCGGGCGCGCGGGAGGAATGATGCCGCCGTGGCTAGGTGCTGTGGAGCTGGTTGTCCGTCCCCCGCCCCCGCGCGCGGTGACCGGGAGTGTCCCGTCGGTGGCGCGGCGGTGTCCCGTCGGTGACCCCTCGGTAGCGCGGCGATGTCCCGTCGATGGCGCCGGGTGTCGAGTCGGTGGGGCGGGGAGCCCCGTCTGTGGCGCAGCGGTGAGATCGATTGGGATCTGTTGTGAGATCGATCGTGAGATCTGTTGTGAGATCGATGGTAAGATCTCTTGTGAGATCGACTGTGGCATCTGTTATGAGATCGATCGTGAGACCTCTTGTCAGATCGATGATGAGATTGCTCGTGAGATCGAGAGATCGATAGTGAGATCGGTACTGAGATCGAACGTGGGATCGACTGTGAGATCTGATGTGAGATCTGATGTGAGATCGATATTGAGATCGCTAGTAAGATCGATAGTGCGATTCAGTGTAAGGGCGATCGTGAGATCTAGTGTAAGATCGATCGTGGGAACTGTTGTGAGATCGATGGTGAAATCGCTTGCGAGACCTACAGTGGGATCGACAGTGAGATCGATACTAAGATCGATTGTGGGATCGATTGTGAGACCGCTAGTGAGATCGATGGTGAGATCGATTGTGGCATTGATCGTGGGACCGATCGTGAGATCCGGTGTGAGATTGATAGTGAGTCCGGATATGAGTTTGATTGTGAGTTCGATTGTCAGATCGATGGCGAGATCGGTTGAAACATCGCTAGTGTGATCTATTGTGAGTTCGATCATGGTTTCGCTTGTGAGATCGGTCGTGAGCTCGAATTTCAAGTCGATCGTGAGATCGACTGTGAGATCGATCGTAAGACCTGTTGTGGGATCGTCAGTGATGTCGATTGCGAGATCGATGGTGGGATCTGTTGTGAGATCGATGTATGATCGATTGAATGAGACGTTGGTTCCCCCTCCCCCCCGAGCCTCCATATCACCCGAAAGGTGGTCGTACAGGTATGTAAGTACTTCTGCTTTACATGCGCGTTCCCCACGTGTGTGCATGTGTGTATATGTGTGTATGTCTGTATGCATGCACGTAGGTATGTAGGTAAGTAGGTATGTAGGTATATGTGTATGTCTGTATGCATCTATGTCCGTTTGTATGTACGTGTGCATGCATGCATGTATGTTTGTATGCACGAGTGTATGTATGCCAACTCGTATGCACACATTCATGCATGCATGTATGTCTGTATGCATGAGAGTGTGTGTGTTATATGTATGCATGAATGTATGTATGGTTGTGTTTGCATGTATGTGTGTATGTGTATATGCATGTATGTACGTATGTATTCGTGTGTATGTATGTATTTGTGTGTAGGTAGGTTGGTATGTAGGCATGTCTGAATATAGCGATGCATGCATGCCATGTATGTCTGTGTGTATGCATGCATGCATACATGCATGCATGTATGCATGCACGTGCGCGTGTGAATATATGCATGTGTGTATCTATGTTTGTACGTATGTATGATTGTGTGTACGTCTGTATGTATGTCTGTATGTATGGATGTATGGATGTATGTGTGTATGTATGTATGTATGTATGTTTGTATGGAGACATGCATGTATGTATATATGTTCATACATATATATATGTATGTCTGTACGTATACATGCATGTTGGTGTATATGTGCATACATCTAGGTCTGTACGTATGTATGTATGTGTGTATGCATGTCCGCATGCCTGTTCGTCGGTATGTCTGCCTGTCTGTATGGATGCATGTGTGTATGTATGTATGCATGTATGTCTGTGCGTGTGTATCTACTATGTATGTATGTATGTATGTATGTATGTATGTATGCATGTATGCATGCATGCATGCATGCATGCATGCATGCATGTATGTATGTATGTATGTATGTATGTATGTATGTATATATATATATATATGTATGTATGCATGCATGCATGCATGTATGTATGTATACATGTATCTATGTATGTATGTATGTATCTATGGATGGAGGAATGAATCTATGGATGTATGTGTGTGTGTGTGTGAGAGCAAAATGCAGCCAGCTTTTGCGGCGCCCTGCGGCGCTCGCCAGGCGCCGTCTCGCCTGCGCCCTTGCCCGGCGCATGGGCGCTCTCCGCGGCGCCGCCGCGGCCCGCCCGCCGGGGCCGCCCGCGCTCCGCGCGCCGCGCGCGGCGTGGCGTCGCGGCGGCGGCGGCGGCCTCGCCGCGGCGACGGCCTTCCGTGCGCCGTGCCGCGCGCGGCTGGGCGAGGCGCGCCCGGGGCGCCGCTGCGGCGGCGGCCTCGCCGGAGCCGCCGGCGCGCGGCGGCGCGCGGCGGGCAGCGCCTGCGGCGCGCAGGAGGGGGGCGGCGCGACGATGACGACGACGTCGTCGTTCGCTGTCTTGGGGGGGGGGTCCCTGGGCCGTTCTGGAGGCTCTCGTGGCCAGGGCGGGGCGCGGCCCGCGCTGGCCAGGATGGGCCCAAAAGGTCGGGTCTGAGCGGATTCTGGCCGCGTGGCGGGGCGAGCGGAAGGCGGTTTCCTACGAAGGCGTGGGGGGGGGCGTCTGCCCCCCCCCCCCCCTTCCCGCCTTTCCAGCTTTCCAGGAAATCCCCCCGCAAGCCTTTGGGCCCTTCAGGGAAGCTCCCTGCCCCCCCCCTCCCTGCTGTCCAGCAGGCCTCGTCGCAAGCCCGCCAGAGGCCGACCGCCCTCCACGCCCCACCCCCCTGCTGCGCGCCGCCGCCAGCACAGAGCGCCGCCCCGTGGCGTGGCCTCTGCCGCGGCGGCGCGTGGCCGCGCGGCTCGGCCGGCCAGCGGCGGCGCAGAGGGCACCCGCGCCGCCGCGGGCGGCCGTGTGGAGCCCGTCGCTGGCCATTGTCTGGATGGCCTTCTTCTGCGACTACGCGCTGATGACGATGGCGATCCCGATCTTCCCGCTCCTCGAGAAGGCCGACGTGCTGATCGGCGTGCTCTTCGCGGCGAAGGCCGCCTTCCAGATCCTCTCTTCGCCGCTGGCCGCGCGGCTGGTCGACCGCCGTCCGAGGGAGATGATCGCCCTCGGGCTGGCCCTGGAGGCCGGCACCGTGCTGCTGTTCGCCACCGCGTTCAGCTACCCCGTGTGGCTGGCGGCCCGCGCCCTGTCCGGCGTGACCTCCTCTCTGATCATCTCGGCGGGCTTCGCCCACCTCAACGGGCGCTTCAGCGACGGCGACCAGCGGGCGGTGGCCATGGGGCTGGCGACCACGGGCATCGTCGGCGGCGTCTGCCTGGGCCCCGTGTTGGGCGGCACCCTGTACCAGGCGCGACCGGCGCTGCCTTTCGCGCTGCTGGCGGCGGCGGAGCTGGCGGTCGCCCTGCTGGCGTGGAGGTGCCTCCCTGGGCTCGAGGGGGCACCCGCGGCCGCTGGCGGTGAGGCCGGCCTGGGGACCATGGCGCGCAGTCCAGAGGTGCTCCGGCCCCTTGGCGCGCTGGCGGCCGCGAACGCGGCGATCTCGTGCCTCGAGAGCACCGTGGCGCGCCACCTCCGCGAGGCCTTCGGGCTGTCCGCCGGGCAGGTCGGCGCGGCCTTCCTTCTCGTGTCGGGGCCCTCCTGCCTCCTCTCCGGTGCCGCGGGGCCGCTCGGCAACCGGCTGGGCCGCGCGCGGCTGGTGCGGGCGGGCCTGCTCCTGCAGGGCCTGTCCACCATGCTGGGGCCGAAGAGCTGGCTGCTTCGGTCGCAAATCAGGGGGGCCTCGTGTACCTTCGTACAGTGCCTATATTTTAAAACTGCCCTGTAGTGCCGTCCTCAGGGTGCACTCGCGTCGAGAAGCGTCTGGTAACCGATGAGGTAGCACCGATTCAGCGTGGACCAGCGTCGATTGGCGTCGATGTGGCGTCGACTAGCGTCGATGAGCATCGGTTCGCAAGAGCCAGCAAGATCACATGGGAGGCTCCCATGAGTTGCCGCAGAAGGCTTTGGGTGAACCTTGTGTCGTTCGTGGGCATCGGAGCCGGCATGGGGGCCATCGACGGCGCCACACCCTCGCTGCTGGGGGAGGTCGCGAGCGAACGCTTCGGCGGTTCGGGCAAGATCTTCGTGCTGTCCAACGTGGCCGTGCAGCTCGGGTTTGTCGTTGGCCCAATCCTGGGCAATAGCATCGTCGGCGTTTACGGCTTCGGCGTGTGCAGTGTGGCAGCCGGGGCTGCCCTCGTGGTTTATGCTCCAATCATCCGACGTATGAGCCCGAGTTCGAAAAGCAGCCATCAGACTAAGAATGCTATCCTTGAATCTGCATGCCACTGATAGTATGAACGTGCACCGTATGGATCATAGCAGCAAGAAGAACAGCACGAAGAGGAACCACGACACAGTGGAAGCCGGAGCATCTTGCCTGCGCAGCTCCTGTCTTGCAGGAGAGAAAAACACACAGACACCATTAATCGTCGACTCCCAGGAAAATATGGGAAAATATGGGAAGTGGGAGGGAAGACAAACACCCTGAACATATGCGAAAAGATAGGGTTTCCTGGGATTTGTGTGTATTTACGTGTGTGTCCTTGGGCCCCTTTGCGTCTTGGCTGTTCGGACGACGCGCCCTCTTCGCCAGCGCGTCTCGGTGGGAAGCCCCTAAGCCGCCCAGCGCCCGCCGGCGGCACAGCGAGGGCCCCCGCACGCACCGAGGGTGCGCCCCCACCGCGCGCGCCGCCCCCCGGAGGGCTCCGTGCCTTGGGGGTGCGCTCGGCCCCCGCTCGGCGCGGGCACGCCTCGCGGAGATCGGGCGATCGCAAACATGGAGCAAGGGGGGCGTGGATTAGCGACGGGCCCCCCGTTTCCATGGGACATCGCGGATTCCCGCCGCCGAGCGAGGCGGCGCCGGCCGCATTTTGGGGAGGGCACCTCCCCCGGTCCATGGATTTGGCGACCGCGCGCCAGATCCATGCCTGCGCGCCCACGAGTCTCAGTTCTTTCTCAGTTCTTTCGAGCTGGGCGTTTTGTCTAGGCCTCCTTGATGGGGTCCGAGTGGATATCGGGTCGGAGGGTCGCGCCGCATCGCCGATGCATCGCCGAGGCTGCTCGATGTGGAGCCTGATTTTCTGCGCGCTGCCGTTGCTGATGCACCGCCGACGTCGCCGATGCATGGCCGATGCATCGGCGATGTATCGCCGATGCATCGGTGATGCGGCGCGATCCTCCGACCCCATCCGCCCCGACCCCATCTAGGAGGCATGTAGTTTTCGTGGCCACGCGTGGAGCTCCACGGAGGACCCCGGCGGCCGAAGGCCCTCACCTGCGCGCGGCACTCGCAGCTGCAGATGGCTGGGTCCTTCGCCACGATAGCTTCGAACCGGCGTTGTCGCCAGGTTCCCGGCCCTGGGGCCATCTCGGATCGATCCGGCTCGAAGGCTGCGGCGATTCCTTGCTGTGGCTCACTGCTGTCGCGGCGTCGGATCGCAGGGCTGGACAACTTTCTCCCAGCTGCCCAGCCCCCCCGCCCTCTCCGCAGGACTCGGGGGCCCCCCAAACCGTATGGTGACGGACCGCGCGGGGAGCTCGAAGTCCCAGGCGACCTTGCCGCGCGGGCCCTCACCGCACGGTTTTGCGGCCCCGGAGGCCCCAGTCGCTGGAGACAGCCTCGGAGGGCTCTTCGAGTCCCCAGACCGCGTGGTGACCCCGGATCCCTACTGTCGGCGGCGAGCGAGGGGGGCGCTGATTAGCGTTTGGGAGTCGATGAAATGACGTCGATTTAGCGTCAGCCAGCGTCGGTTAGCATCGATTTAGCGTCGATGAGCGTCGAATTAGCGTCGAATTAGCGTCGATTCGCAAGAGCCGACAAGAAGATGTTATGGGAGGCTCCCACGAGTCGCCACCGAACCATGATCTGCATTCACTCCGCAGCACTGGGTGCTCCTTTTCCCAGGTGCGTGCTGCCTAAAGGCTTCGAAGGTCGAGGCGCTTGCCATGGGAGTAGGTATATTCCGCCTTCTGGTGCGGTCGGGAGCGTTTCCTGAGCGTGCCGCGCCGCGGCTTCTGGCCCACCGCTCTGCGGCGCGACGCACGAGCCACGCCCCAGCCCCAAGGCATCAGCATGAGGAGGAGGAGGAGGAGGAGGAGGAGGAGGAGGAGGAGGGAGGAGGAGGAGGAGGAGGAGGAGGAGGAGCAGGGGGGATGAGGAGGAGGAGGAGGAGGAAGGGAGCCACGCCCCAGCCTCAAGGCGTCAGCGTCCCGAGCCCTTCCCAGCCTCCCGCCCAGTGGAGCGCAGCGGCGCGCTGTCAGCTCGCGGGGCACGGCGCGTCGCCGGGGCCGCCGCCGCGACACGCTCGGCGGAGTTCCTGGCCGCAGTTGGCGCCCTCCTGCTGTCGGTCCTCGCCAGGCACTCAGGAGGAGGAGGAGGAGGAGGAGGAGGAGGAGGAGGAGGAGGAGGAGGAGGAGGAGGAGGAGGAGGAGGAGGAGGAAACTCAGATAGTTTCCGCCAGTGCTTAGGATAACATGTCCGCTAATGCCTATGAGAACAAGTCCGCCAGTGCTTAGGAGAACAACCACCTCCCGCGCCGCCCCGGCAGCAGCAGGGACCCCAAGACGGGGGGTCGGGCTGAGCTCCCCGCGCACGGCCTCCCCCTGGGGGGCACTCGCCCTGGGGTGGCAAGGAACTGCCGCTTTCCCCCTCCCCTCCCCTCTCTTCCCCGTGTGCCCTCGCCCTTCTCCCTCTCCCCCCCTCCCCCTTCCCCGGCCGTCGCCGTCGCCGTCGCCGGCGGCGCCGGGGGGCAGTCCCTTGCTTTCCTTCGGGTTTGTGCGCCCCCCCGGG